CTATTTCTGGAGCGGCATATTGTGTCCCTACTTATTATGATACTTATTAGAAAATAAAATGAAACAAATAAAACGTGACATATTTTTTCAGCTAAACATTAATACACAACTCTGAGATCTAAAATATTTGAATAAGTAAGTTATTAATAAGTATTTGTTTATTAGAGAAAAACAAATGGATGTTAAAGTCTATGAGTGGAATTATATAAAGAAAATTAAACAGTCAAAAGAGCTAAAAGTATATCACAATGTACAGTTAGAACAGCTGTATCTGACTTAAACATGGTTTATGCGGCTCATCTGCATGTCCATGTTGTTTACAGTTTTTTGACGAAACTTGAATGAACATTTTAACAAAATAGATTGAAACTTGTTACATAAGTAACAAAACTACATGAAAATAATAATAAAACTATGTGAACAGAATAAGAAAGCTATATGAAGAATATTATTATAATATAACACTACGAAAGAACCATTAAATATATATATTTATTTTAAATTTTATTTATAAAAATGAAGCTTCCCGACGAGGAATCGAACCTATGTCCGCCGAGTGACGGGCGGAGATACTGACCACTACACTACCGAGGAGATGTTTTCTCAATAACTTTGTATTTTATATTCATAATTTAATTTATCACATTCTGCGAATAATGTCGAGCGTTATTCACACAGCTCTGTGAATAACGTTTAGCGTTATCGGCAGAACGAAATCTGTGAATAACGGCGAGCGTTATCCGCACAGCTCTGTGAATAATCACTTCGTTAAATTATTATTAAATCACTGGATGGAAGTACGTACTGGTCGTATTACTGGTACTAGAAATAGACCAAGTCTAAGACTACTAATACTACTATGACTAGTATTACTGACTATAAAAATACAATAATCATAGTATAGACATAGTCAAATAGTCATAGTTTTTCTAGATGTATACATTTAATACAATAATATTCTGACAAGCACACACAGTACAGTCACACTGCACAGGCACAGTTGTTTTAAATATAAGAGTAAGAGTCAAGAGTGTTGGCAGTGTTGGACTGCGATTAATTAACACAAACAATGTAATTTATGTAAATAAAATGACAATATACAGATGAGTTCAGCTTAAATATTCATCACACAGAATTCAAATGTAAACATTTCTGCAAATGGCAAATGCCTTCATCAGTACAACAAAATCAAAAATAAACAATCATAAAATATAAGTATAAATTTAATTTACATAATATAGTATAGGTATAAAAGTTCAAGTATCCTACCGAAAAATGAGAGAAAAGAATAGGAGTGGGCGCAAGTCCCTGACAAAGTCCCCAAAAAAAACAAAGAACGGAAAAGAAGTGAGTGAAAGTAAAATTTATTTTAAAAACCAATTAGGAAAAAGACATGGCATGGCAGCTATTTAAAATTGTGGATTAGGTTTATACTTTATGGCGAGTCAACTTACCAAATCTTGTTATTAATATATTTTCCATATAAAATCTATACGTTGTATTACTTACTAAAGATATACCAGAAACTGCATTGTCTAAAATTCCATTATGGTTAGCACTATTGAAATGTTTGGAAGTTGGACAATGCGCTTGCTTATTTATATTATAGATGTGTTCTCCTTAAAACGGTCTCTAAGGTGACGACCTGTCTCTCCTACATATAATTTACAGCACTTATACACAGGATGGTTTAAATCACATTGCAACTTGTGCAGGTAAAGCCATCTTTGATTAGGAATAGTTCCAGAGGGAAGGTGATCTTCTCAACTTCAGTCTTGTAGGGATATGTGTGTTACAGCGGCAACAGTTGCAACTTTTGGTGCCTATATGTGCTTTAATAGCAGGGCGATGGCTTCTAACAAGCATGTACCTAAGGCTTTTGTCCATCGGGAAAGCAAAAAGAGGAGGATTTTTTAAAATCTCATTGGTGACAGGGTCTGCCATAAGAATAGGGGTAACCATAATGGAATTTTAGACATTGCAGTTACTGGTATATTTTATGCAAGTAACACATTGGATAGAATTTTTATGGTAAATATATCAATAACAAGATTTGGTACGTTGAGTCCATACAGTATAAACCAAATCCACAATTTTACATAGCTGTTATTTCTTTTTCCTGTTTTTAAATTTTACTTCCACTCAACTTTCTTTTCGTTCTTCCGAACTTTGTTTTTGTTAAGGACTTGCCCTCACACTTATTATTTACTCTTATTTTTAGGTAGAATAAATGTATATCTATATTATGAAAATTTAATTTATACATGTATGAATATTTTTTTTTGTACGAGTACGATGAATGTATTTGTCTAAACGTTTTCTTTGTATTCTGTATGATGAATATTAAAGCTGAACATTTATTGTTTTATTGGCACAAAATGTCTAATTAATTTAAAATTAATAATGTGATTATTAGGGCTAAATCATTATTAAATTTTTGTATTGCTTAAATGAAAATCTACATCATGCAGTCACAGAGGTCTTAGTCTACAGCATTTCTTGTCAGTTGTGGGTAAAAATGGCTTAGTAAAGTCACAATTCAAAATTAGAGTCGGAGACACTGGACATATTCATCACTAGACAAAGTGACTAGAAATAGTCAAGAGTGACTAGTATGATTTAGGCATCAAAGTCTAATGCTAGCTTTGCAGTAAGAAACCCAATTTTTGTTTACTCCAACCAAAGGCCTGATAACGATTATGCTATTCTTAACCTTGTAATATATGAATGTAGGCCTGTATAAAAATTTCAGTCATCAAAATTCAGTTGTACTAAAGCGGGCATTTTTAACATACAAATTGAATACAGGTAATGAACTATTACATCATTAAATATAAGTGAAAATTTTCCTTTTGATATTGCATTTGAAGACCAATTTTAGTAGGTAATTCTACAATTAATGTGTTCTATTGCAGAACAAGAACATGAAAAATTGAGGTTAACCCTCCTTAACTTAGTCACTAAAACCTTTATCAATAGTTAAAATGTAACAATTAGCGCAACAATAACAAATAGTCAAATACATTAAATTCTATTAACATTTTTCTTGTGAAAGTTATAAATTAATATATAGCAGGTAAACTAACTATAATGCCTTGAACATCCATAACCACACATCAGGGGGTTGGGCAGGGCTCACATACTCATAAGAAGGGTGTCTTAAGTTTATTTGATTTGTGATCATATGGGGGGGGGGGTGTTCTATTTTGTAATCAGTGATAAATCTGATCCACTCATAAAACATTGTACATATATTCAATTTGTATGTGCTTAACATTAAAATTTAACTTGTTGCTAGTATTAC